CCCACCACTTTACATCAGCTTCTTCCTCTCTCTCTCTCTCTCTGTTCCCCTGCTGTACTCAGCTACCTCCCTCTAATTTCCTCTCCTCTTGTGTCCCTCTATTTAAGCCTTTCTTTCGGCTCTGTCGTCCACCCCCTCCTTCTACTTTCTGCCTCTCTTATGCTTTCTGTTCCACTCTCTATTTTTCTCTGTGGCTCTCCTGCAGGCCATTTTGGTTCCCGGCCCCGTTTACCCACTGTGGGAAAACAACTCATTATGGGAAGGGTGGGGGCGGGGGGGTTCTGTGATCAAGGTCACAGAGATTAGGTGGGGAGGGAGGCAAAGGGGAGAAAGCGGGTGGACATATCGGTGCAGGGGTACAGCTCTGAGTAAAGTTGTGGCAGCCAGATCGATTCTCCACAAATGAAAACATCCACCAGCTCTCACTTGCCTATGTCAGCACTCAGTTCTTCAAAAACTCATGTGATCCAGCTCTACAATATACCATTTATCATCAAGGATGTTTTCCAGCATGAGTGTGTTCCATTTTATTTTCTTGCTCTCTGCACGCTAATCGGCTGTGACTTATAGCGGCTTCTATCCTCTGTCCTCGGCCCCATGGACTGCGTGGACCTCCTCCCTGTCTGTATTGTCCAATTAATCAAGTAGGCCAAAGGGGCACAACAAGAGAGAAAAGAACTGGTGATGAACTTGATAATGAAAGAGAAAGAAAAGAGGGAGAAAGCGAGTGAGAGGAGTAGGGAAATCATGTTGAGTCTGTGTGTGTGTGTGTGTGTGAGAGAGAATATAAGATTTACAGTAAATGTATCATGTTGCTTTCTAACGTGCTTTTCTTGATGAGGTATTAACTACAGATGAAGAATAAAGAAAAAATAACAGCCTAATAATTAAAAATCATATTAAAAATTAAAATGTAGACTCAATCATTTACTAAACCTCTACCCATAACATTAAATGTTCAATCATAGCTTTTTCCTCACTGTGCTTAGGACTAACCAGCTCTACACTGCAACACAAGAACAATACCGTTTCTTTATTTCTGTCCATTCAACACACACCAACTTGGGTTTAAGCAAACAAGGAGAAGTGGATGGATAAGTCCTGTGACAGGGGAGGTAACTCCATCTTCTTAGTCAAAATGCTAGCACTGTAAGTGGTCCCTGGGTTGAACATTATTGTTTAATTGATGCATTTGTTGATTTAAAATGTTTTGCTTCAGTGACTAAAAATGGGGCTTTGACAATATTGTTGATCAATAACATAAGTTGTTTCACACAAACAGGAGCAGTTCATAAGAAACAGCAATACTAGAACTTAATATTGATAATTATTGATGGTCCCAAAAAGTTGGAGCCCTAATTATTTTCTAACTGACCCTGAAGAATCATCCTAATGATATCAAGAGCTCTGTTTAAGAGCTTTACAAAAGCTCAGAGATGCACATCTGGCTTCAAATGATTGGCTGATTTGAAAAAATGGTATGCTTTAGTGTCATCAGGATTACTAACATTTACTCTTAGATGCTATTTCCAGTCTTTTGTAATGAACTATCATCATGCAGCCTGGTTTTCTAAAATATCAGCTTCCTGATTACAACAATTAGCACTGTCACAGAAACAAGGCATCATTATGTGCTGTGGGGAGACAAAATTTTTAGGGATACCGCAGCTGTGAAACGACATATTCACCAAGAATCTAGTTCATTGCAAATGAAGTGCTGTTGGCATTTCATAAGAAGACACCTTTACACTGTAGATGACTTCTTAGATCATATTGTAACCTCATGGGAAATTAAAAGACATGTTCCAAATTTAATCTCATGTCTCTCATCTTCTCTTTAAAGCAGAAACCCAAAAGGTACTCTATGTTGGATAAGGGAACAAAGAACGGAAAAACAGAAAACTGACTTCAAAAGTCAGCATTTCAGACCCCCGTGATGCTTTCTGTGAGAAAATCTAAGCCCAGATTTTCTCAGGTGGGCTCTCAGGGATTGAGTTAACAGACTGGTATATATCTTAGATTCCAAGGGAATGTGAACTAGAGGCTGTTTTCACACACTGTGGTGGTAAAACTCTAAGGCAAGAAAATAAATTTAGAGCATGAGCAGTTTTAATCAACACAGTTTTTCTTTTCTTATGTAAGGAAACAATTAAAAGGGGAACAACTACATTTTATGTCTCTATCATTAGGGGGTTTCTTTGTTAGCAACTAAAAACTGAGTGTGTAAACTGAGGGGTGTTTGAATTTTGATACTTGCCTTGGTGGCAACTAGATGCTGTGCACTGAATATGGTGATGTGTGGTGTTGGCAGTGATAGTGGAAAACCTACATTTTAAGATCACAATTGCAGCTAATTTCCATCAATTCCAAATCTTTAAACGGTATCGGAAAACATTTTCAGATTTATGTGCCGGTCCCAAGCCCGGATAAATAGAGAGGGATGTGTCAGGAAGGGCATCCGGCGTAAAACCGTGCCTAATTTACTCATGCGAATCGGATTCACTGTGGCAAGCCCTAACGGGAACAGATGAAAGTAGAGCAGTAGAGATCAGAAAACAGTTTCAGAATAGGCTAATATGTAATACTTAAGGTGACTGAAGTACAAATACTGGGAACAGAGAAATAACAAGCCTGGAACTGTTAGCTTGAACCTGGCACCACATAAGGAACACAGTGCACACTGGATCAGAGTGAAAGCTAAAAACAGTCAAATAAAACCACTCACTGGCACTGGAGGTGGGACTTGCACGGTGATGTCATCGGTGTCTACGGGAGAGTCCAACCACAGCCTTTCATCTGATGACTGACTGTCGGGATAGCCTTTTCTCTTATCAGGCACTGGAAACTGACCCTTAGATCGCCTAGCTATACTTTCCAAGTCTTGGCTCTCACCATTCTGCAGTAAAAGAACACATTGTTAGAGAAGGATAACGAAGTCTGGGGGGAGGTGAGGATCACATTTACTAGCACCCAACCCTCTGACACCTTGTAGAGCAATGTGAGAAAGAGAAATCACCTTATCTGAAGAGTACTTCCATAGTTCAACACTGTCCATGCTGTTTCTCTTGGTGAATTTGGGTCTTGCTCCTACAAATAAAAGATAAGTACATAAATATAACATCTCATAACATTAAAATATTACACAACTTTAGAGACTATCTTACAGTTTACTCTAAAATTGCTTCATGAGCTGATGCGAGCGTGCAATGTGCTCTCCGTCTCTCTGTAACAGCAGCCTGTGTCAGTAGTGGTCACGGGATGTTCGGTGTGGACATGGGGTTTAGGCAGACAACCAGGCAAACAATCTGAATAAGAGTCTGTTTGTCTCTCTAGGTTTTAAAATGCACCCAATTATGTGAGTTAGTGGATCATTTGTGGGAAATCTTTGTTGAAATCAGACTGTGCTGTAGAACCAAACCATCTTCCTGAGGCTGGAGATCAGACAAGGATTTTTATCCTGCCCCGAAAACATACACGCCCCTTGGTTTCTAGCACAAACACTGTTAATCTGTTATGTTTGTCTCACCTTAAATGAGTTTTACATTTAATATGGGCACCTTGTACATACAGTAATCCTAGCTCTCTCAGCCACGTTACTTAATCTACAATTTTAAAATAGATAAAACGTATATTATCTACAGTTATAATGTGACTAATAAATCTACTGACTGAACTATTTACTATAGAGCTCCGTTATTTTTTGTTCCCATTTCTTTAAGACAGGAGTGTTAGTATAGCTCCAAGACAGTTTCCACTAACCACAGTTTGAAGAGTGCAAACAGACAGGTCCCTGTTGTAAAGACACATTCAAATGCACACACACAGAGCTGGGCTTTTTCCATCTGCCTCACACTTTCCCTTTCCTTGATTAAGGAAACTGAATAACTTGTTTACATGAAATCAAGTTACACAAGTGTATCTAAAGCACTTAAGGACAAGTCTTTAGTGTCTGAAAGTGAATTAATGTCTTCAACAATTTCGTACTCAGAGAGAGCACCATATGATTATTTTATTTCCCAAACCTAAAATCTACAACTGGCTAAATCATAAGGAGACACAACCTACACCTAGCCTATCATAAAGACTGGACACAGGTAAACAGCTAACCTGGTTCTAATCTGTTAAAATCTGCCTGCTAGAACCTCCAAAGCCAACCAATTAACACTTCCTATCTTATCTAAAAAGAAGAAAAAAAGGTTTTAATGTGACCTTGCATCTCAAACTCTGAACTGGAGGGCGAAAGGTCACTCTCATTGATGCCCAAGGCCTCCATTAACTGCTCCACATTCATTCTGGCTGTCAGTTCCCCATTTCTGTCTCCAATCTGAGGAAGAAATAAAGAGACGGGACAAACAGACCAACAGATGGGTCAAATAAGGTCAAATGCAAGAAACCTAAACTTTATGCAACTTTTTTAAAATAACTACATTCATAAAAGTGTCATACTTCTTTAGAGATGTCCAGGTGCTTGCGGGCATAGTGGAGAGCTTGTTTGTGGTTCCCTAAAGACACGTATGCATTTCCCAGACTCCAGCAGGCACGGCCCTCACCTACCCTATTGGTGAACATACACTCAGAATTTTCAATATATTCTTGTGCTCATGCATGTTTGTGAGTACGCAATAGATATTGTTTATGCTCTACCTATCAGCAAGCTCCTGGGCTATGCACAGGTGTTTCAGGTGGTAGTCTATAGCTCTCTCATACTGCTGCAAAAGAGTGTGGGTGTTTCCCAGGCTGTAACAGGCCTGGGCCTCCATCACCTGGTCCCTCAGCTGCCTGGACAGTTGCAAAGTCTTCCTAAAGAAAAAGAAACAGAGAGATGCATAAAGTTAGCCAAGGAAAAAAAAAATGAAGATATCTTGCAGTTCTTGCAATTGAATGATTTTTCATATTCAGTTTGTACTTCAGTCACATTTTGTATTCAGTGGGAAACATTTCATACTACTTTCCTTCCACTAGATGTCAGAGTGCTCTTGCTGCTCACCTGTAATACTCTGTGGCTGTGTTGAACTGGCCCAGGAAGATAAGCGCATTGCCTAGATTACTGTAGGCTCGCCGTTCTGCCGCTTTGTCCCCAAATTCTTTGGCAATGGATAATCGCTGTGAACAACAGGGCAGCAAGGCACATGTTCATTTTGCTCTGGACTTTCAGAAGTTCAACCAATGATGACAAAGTTAAATCCTCATTTTACTTTACTTGACCATATTTGTGTGACAAATGTACGAGCAGAGGCTGTTACACAAATTCAAAACTCTGTTGGGTATAGGGTTCGCAGAGGTGCTGCTGCAGCAGTGGCATGAAACATCAGCTCCTCTGATTCCCTTTAAAGGCAGTGTGCTCACCACTGTGACCCGCTGACAGATATGTAATGAGGAAGAGAGGAGAGACTGGCTTCTCTCATGAGGAGACAACTGGTTTACAATAGAGAGTGACAGAAAACATGGGCCCAAAGCCATATTTACCACTGATTCAACAAGAACCTAGTTTCCTTTTTTCTCTATGAGATGATATCAGTCTCTGCACACTGTGTTGGTACAGCATGAGATTGCTCACAAAAAATTTGGTACTGTCGCTTCAGGGAGCGCCAAGATGTCATGGCTTTGTGGCTATGGCATCTTGGCCATGATGTCCTCACTGGCCAAAGACCATGTGCAGAAGCCACCAAAACATCCCAAGCAACATTTCAATGTGTATGTTAATGATCTGGACAAAGCAAACTGAGCATACGTGTGTAGGTTTATGTTCACAGTAATTGTGAGACCTGATCTTAATAACAGAAGAGAAGGGACTTTTTTTATAGCAGAAGTGCACTGTGTCCCTTTGATTTGTAATTCCTCTTCTATTGCATGTATTCTGTGCACATTCTAATACAGCTGCAAGGTGAAAGCAAAGTTAGGCTGCTAGTCCGCTGACATATTTATTCTGTCAAGGCTCATAATTTATATCTGCACTCTGCAGCAGTATAAGTACGATGCTGATAAAGATTCTGGATTTCTCACCTGACGGTGGAACTTGATAGCTTCGACAAAGTTTCCCAGCAGGTAGTGGGTGTTGCCCAGGTTCCCATAGGCCCTCCCCTGAGCAGCTCGGTCACCAAGTTCTTTGACCAAACACAAGTTCATCCTACAGATGAATAGTACAAACAATTATTAAATTATGGGTTTAATAGGGTCTACGTAATTCTAATGAGTATTACTGTAGGTTTACTATATTTTATTTATCCAGGCAACACTGAATGCACATGTTTTCCAACACCACCCTCACATTCACAGAGCCACATCCATTCCTACCAGTAAGTTGTCTTTTACTAAGGGCTCTTCTGAATGGTGCCTAAGATATAGCTCATCATTTTTACTGCAAAATTTAATACGAAATATTTAAATAAACTTGCAAACCAGACCAGAACCTCTCGTAGACAGATTTCAGATAATGCATGGAAATAAAATACGTGTACAATATTTCTTAACTGTTAAGCATGACCAACTGAAAATGAGCAACTGAAGAACAACAACTCTGACAAAACTACAGTTCTTTACCAACAGTACGAGGTCTTGTCAGAAGAAGAGCATTCTTTTTAATATTTCACAAACCTGGGCTTTGAGGCAGATTAGCCTGAGGGAACCACAGTGAGGCAAATATAAGCCTGGGGCTTACCAGAAGGTGCATGAAACACATTGTATGTGGCAAATTATTCTATGGTCTGATGAAAATAAATGGAAATATTCAGCAAAACTAGGCAGAACTTATCGGTTCTCAAAGCATGTCAGTTGTAAAGTATGACCACGGTAGCATGGAGTTGCTTTTAAATCTCATGGACAAATTAAAGTAAATGTTATTCTCTATATGAGTGTACAAGATCTTAGTCTTAATTGAACATTACAGCCAAAGCCCAGAAAGAAATATCATAGAAAATGTTCTCCTCAGGCTGATTAAACCTGAGGAAATATGCAGGTAAAAATAGCAAAAAAAACAACCTCAAATCCAGATGTGCCACACAGGCACAGATGTATTCAAGAACAGCTGACGGTGTAATAACTACCAGAGATGCTTCAAAGCAGGGATCAAAGTAGCAGCTCATGCCAAGTTAAATAGTATTTAGGTACAGTATATAATTTTTGGAGAAGAAAGAGTGGCACCACAAAAAGCAGTAAAACTCACTTGTCTTGGCTACTACTGTGACTGTGACTGTGTGTGTGTGTGTGCTCAGTACACTTTTAACAGTACATACTCATAAAAGCCAGTAGCCCTTTGCAGTGTCTCTCTAACATCAGGCAGCAGATCTCCTGGCTCCTGGGTGCAGCCCCACAGCTGCTGCTTTCCCTTTGCATGAAACACATTCCCTATGTTATAGAGTGCTCTGGCCTCTCCAACCTACAACCAGACAAAGAGATACAGAATGAGAAGTTTAAAAAGAAAGATCTCTGTGTGTGTGTGTGGACGTGTTTTCCCTGTACGTGGGGACTTCTTCCTGACTCCATACCAACTCATGAGGACCCATTTCACAGTGGGGACCTAAATTGAGGTCCCCATGGGCAAGAAATTGAATTTTAGGGTGGCAACATGGTTTAGGGTTAGGATGAGGTTAAGGTTAGGTTAAGGTTAGGGTCAGGCAAGTAGTGGTTCTGGTTAAGGTTAGGGTTAGTCTACAGGAAATGCATGTAAGTCAATGTAAAGTCCCCATGGACTACGAAACATAAACTGTGTGTGTGTGTGTGTGTGTGTGTTTATAAAGTACGGTATGAAGATTATGTCTTGTGTATATTATTTTATTCTACAGCATTCATTTATTTTCCAGGGGACTGTGTGTATCTCTCTCTTTGGACATCCACATACAGTAGGTCTTAAGTAAAAAGCATTTATGTTTAATAGCAATAATGATACACTTTTCATTATGCTCAAGAGGTCTCAAAATATACTACAATACACTTGAAATATTTTACAAAGGTTCTGTAGGACAGTCGCAATGTTTCTTAAGAAGCATATAAACACACATGCAGCAAAGGTCTCAGTGTATTGGTCCTTTTTAAGGCCTTGCATATTACCTTGTCTCCCTGCTCTTGAGAAATATCCAGATGTCGTTGACAGCATACAACAGCCTCGTCAAAGCGCCCCAACACTTTTAATGTGTTTCCAAGGTTGCCACTGGCTTTTCCTTCTCCAATTTTGTCTCCTATTGTTCTGAGAAAGCAAAGGAATGCATACTTTGGCATTTAGTCATCTCCCTAGTAAAGACTGCAGTTTCTCTATGTTAATATTATCCAGTTAAACAATACTCATTAAGATACTATAACAAGACTGACTTGGAAAATGCTGTATAGTATATTTTTAATTGTATGCTCACGTCTTAAGACCAGGTCCCAGTGGCCCTGGTGAGACTGTAATGTAACAAGGTAAATCTCCCTGGGGTCTTTAATCACTTCCCTGCTGAAGTACCAGCTGCACTCACTGCAGGGGACCAGATTACTCATGCGTGCTACTTATCCAGCTGGTAGCTATATGAAAGTCCCAACATGTTTTATTGGAATTTTCACTGTCTAACTCAAAGTCCACATAATAAAATCCCTAATGCTCTTTATGCATCTAATAAAGTAAATAATCTACAACTTCTGAGACTGTCTGTTAGCAGAATCATCAGCATGCCTTTCCGGCATACTGGTAAATAGCTTAGAGCTCAGTAGAGATCCAGCTGCAGCTGCTTTTTTTTTTCATGATACAGTAAATTATTGAACAGTTTACATGAATTCCATTTACATCAATACAGATAATAGATTGCATTTTCCCAGACAGCTCAAACCAACTGCTGGCAACCAGAGTCAATCATTTACTAGCATTAGGTAGCAGCTATCAAAGTGTATAATGATCACCTGGCCAAGGTAAGGTCGTGTTTATGGTACTCCAGGGCTTTGCCATACTCCTTGAGATAGAAGTAGGCATTTCCCAACTGGCTGTAGATGGCACTGAGGGTCTTCAGGTCTTCTGTGCCAACCTGTACAGCTGCCTCAAAAAATGCCGTTCCCCCTTTAAAGTCCCCTGCTTTGCACAGCCGCTCTCCT